AACCCTAAAATTTCTTCAGAGTTCAACTCTTGTGAGTCACTTTTTGACACAAGAGTTATCAATATCCATGTTTTCTCATCCAATATTATTCTGTACAAGTATTTCTTAGATGCGCTCTCCTTTTGTCCCCAATACATATTTTCTTACAAACCATTTCATGAGATACCATTCAGCAAGTTTTTCTTTTTATTGAATTTAGTGAGAAAGGGAGAGGGAGAGAGAAAAACAACATGATCAGTTGCCTCCCTCAACCTGGGATAGAATCCTCAAGCTGGGTATGTACCCAGGCCAGAACTGAACCCACACTGGCCAGGGCCCATACGGCAGGTTTTAATGGTGGCACTTGCTTCATCTCATCAGGTGTCAAAGGAATATTTTCAAACAACAAACACGAATGGTAATTCTTCAAGCTGTTAAACTGATTTGTTGGTTGAACAATTTAGAGGTTGTAGTTGGCCAGTCATGCCACTAGGACAGTGATGGCGAACCTTTTGAGCTCCGCGTGTCAGCATTTTGAAAAACCCTAACTTAACTCTGGTGCCGTGTCACATATAGAAATGTTTTGATATTTGCAACCATAGTAAAACAAAGATTTATATTTTTGATATTTATTTTATATATTTAAATGCCATTTAACAAAGAAAAATCAACCAAAAAAATGAGTTCGCATGTCAGAGGTGACACGCGTGTCATAGGTTCACCATCACTGCACTAGGACAAACAGACAGGTGTGTACATTTGCAGGCAATTAGAAATAAAACATCGTCAGCTGTAAGAGGCATCTTGACAACAGAGATGTGAAAATGTGAAAACAAGTATGTGTTGAATCTAGGAGTACTTCATATTATGCAAAAGAAAGAAGCCTCAATTTTTTTTAAATTTTAAAAATGATTAGGATCAAGTGATCTAATAAAAACTTATATCAGGAGCTTTAAAAGTTTCCATAATCTTTGTTACTTCACTTCTTGGACTCCATCCTAAATAAATCCCCTCACCAAATTAGAGCAAAAATTGATGCCCAAGCATGAATCTCAGCCCAATATATAAAAGCAAAATTGGGGGGGAAAAGTCTAAAAATCCAATAAGACAACTATTAAGTCAGCTAAGGAAACATGTAGCCTTAAATTCTTTTATTCAGAATGTAATAATATGTGAAGATGCTTAAACTATAATGTTAAATTAAAATCAAGTAACAATTGTATACACAACATAATCTCCATTACATTAAAATGTATAAAAGAAAAAATTAGAAAGAAGAAAGTAAACTATTAACAGGGCTTGCGGCTGGGTACATAGCATGTAACTGCTTTCTTTTCTGTACTTCCAATTTTTCTGAAGTAAATATCTACACTAATAAAAGAGAAACATGGTAATTGGCGTACGACCGCTACCCTTCCCATTGGCTAATCAGCGAAATATGCAAATTAACTGACAGCCAAGATGGCAACCGGCAGCCAGGCAGCTTGAAACTAACATGAGGCTTGCTTGCCTCAAGAAACTATGTAACAAATACCACCTGACTTCACCCAGCAGGATCGCAACATTGTAAGCAAAGGCCAGAAACCTACTTTCAGCCGCGGAGGCCTAAGAGCTGGAGCCAAGCCTCAAGCTAAAGCTGGCCCAGAATAAAAAAAAAAAAAAGGAAAAAAGGAGCGGTTGGGAGCTTCAGTCACCCCCAGCCTGAAAACAGCCCTCAGCCCCTCACCTAGACTGGCCAGGCACCCCAGTGAGGACCCCCACCCTGAACGGTGTGTGACCAGCTGCAAACAGCCATCATCCCCTCACCCAGGCTGGCCAGGCACCCCAGTGGGGACCCCCACCCTGATTCAGGACACCCTTCAGGGCAAACCAGCCGGCCCCCACCCGTGCACCAGGCCTCTACCCTATATAGTAAAACGGCAATATGCCTCCCAGCACTGGGATCAGCGTGACAGGGGGCAGCGCCCAAACCCCCTGATCGCCCTGCGGCTCTGTGTGTGACAGGGTGCGGCACCCCACCCCCCCCCCCGCCCACAGGCCCTGCTCTGTGTGTGACGGGGTAGAGCCATAACCTCCCCATCAGCCCTGCCCTGAGTGTGAGAGTGGAGGCGCCCCAACCCCCTGATTGGCCCTGCTCTGTGGGTGATAGAGGGCAGCACCCCAACCCGCTGATCTGCCCTGCTCTGTGTGTGACAGGGGACGGTGCCCCAACTCCCCTATCAGCCCTACTCTGTGAGTGACAGGGGGGAGCTCCTCAACTCCCTGATGGGCCCTGCTCTGTGCGTGACAAGGGGTGGCGCCGCAACCTCCCCATCGACCCTGCCTTGAGTGTGACAGGGGGCGGTGCCCCAACCCCCCAATTGGCCCTACCCTGAGCGTGACTGAGGGGGGCATCGCCACCTCCCAATCCGCCCTGCTCTGTGCATGACAGGGGGGGGCGCCCCAACTCCCCAATCGGCCCTACTCTGAGCCCGACCAGGGGCTGCACCTAGGGATTGGGCCTGCCCTCTGCCACCCGGGAGCAGTCCTAAGTCAGCAGGTCGTTATCTCCCGAGGGGTCCCAGACTGCAAGAGGGCACAGGCCGGGCTGAGGGACCCCCCCGCCAGTGCACAAATTTTTGTGCACCGGGCCTCTAGTTATTTTTATAACCAGGTAGAAAAAAAAAATAGCTATCAATAACAGCTGTGGTTCAGAGAAGTTGAGTAACTTGCCCTAAAGCAGAAGGGACTAAGTGGCAGTGAAGATTAAAACCTTTATATCCTAATCCCAGATCCAGGACTTCCCATTCTGCCACAGGTTCTCCCTAAGAATCACAAGTGTCCTCCCTTTCCAAATCCCAGTTGTCCACAACTAATTTTCCCAAATAAATGTTATTTAGTTCAAAATTATTACTTCTAGCCCTAACCGGTTTGGCTCAGTGGATAAAGCATCAGCCTGTGGACTCAAGGGTCCCAGGTTCGATTCCAGTCAAGGGCATGTACTTTGGTTTCGGCCACATACCCAGTGGGGAGTGTGCAGGAGGCAGCTGATCGATGTTTCTCTCTCAGTGATGTTTCTAACTCTCTATTCCTCTCCCTTCCTCTCTGTAAAAAAATCAATAAAATATATTTTTTAAAAAATCATTACTTCTAGAAATTGAAATATCAATGTGGCTATTTCATTAAAAATTACTGTAAAACTGACACTAATGTGGCACATTCTTGCTCAAGTTGTAAACTAATTGTGTGAAAAATTCAAGAAATAAGTGAAGAGATTATATCCTCTTCACAAGTCAAGGCCAGGGCACTGTACAACCTATTTTGAGCTGTGCATATAGTCTATGGGCTATAAAAGCCAGGCCAGGTAAAAGACGGGTACGGCAACATGTTGAGTCTTACATAATAAAAAGGCAAAAGGACAAAGTGCACCTAACCAATTCACCTCACAAAATTTTTGCGAAGTGTATGAAACAAATATAGTTTATCTTTGCACTACAGAAATAATTTGAACTGGCTATTCTAGCAGTCAAGCCAAGATGTGGGTTTCTCTTTGTGTCAGTATTGGCTGAT